CATGATGGGTATGTTTTCATAATTTCTTTCACTATATCTATCGCTATTATAGTGCTTGACTAATTATAATTTCACTTTTTTAGCAAGACTCGAAAAACTTCAATATCTGATCTGGCATACGACGCATTTGGCAACATTGGTTTACGTATCGTAGGATTCTTCTTTACTGCTATAAGCATAGGATGTTCTATTCTTTATCTAGTCTTGGCCGGTGAAAGTCTTCAACCTTTGTTTGTAAATATTGGAATTGATTTGGGTATGACGAATTGGATTTATATTTGCTCTGCCACTATGGCCGTGCCTTTTTTATTTTTAAAGACCATGAAGGAGGCTGCTTGGTTAAGGTAATCTTCATCACGTGATGTCAATTTTTTCCTATTTCGTACTTTTTTTAAGGCGAATGCCAATTTTGTAAATCATTAATAGTGTTTTCGGTGCATTAACAACTGCGCTTGCCGTATTTGTTGTTTTTGTGAAGTCAATTATGGAATATTCCCCAAGTGAGCCTACTCAACATGATTTTGTGAACTTTCGCGATATACCCCTCGCAATGGCAACTTTCAGTTTCAGTTATGCCGGAAATATAGTTTTTCCTCATGTCGAAGCAAGGTAATCTTATCGTTATTTTTTTTATTATCATTTCGATTACCATTGTGCAACTTTCTTTTAAAACTCTTTAACTATTTAATATTAATTCTAGCATGAAACATCCACGCTCATGGCCAACAATTTATATCTATGCCATGTGTACAGTCACATTTATGTACCTATTAATTGGCATTCCTGCTTATATAACTTATGGTCATACAACTCTTTCTCCAATATACTTAAACCTTCCACCAGGTTTTGCTGTAACAACGTCGATTCTAATGATGACAGCTCATGTCTTATTAGCTTTACCAATCTATCAAACAGCTTTTAGTTTAGAAATAGAAGATTACCTGGGTATTAGTGTTGAAAATTTTGGTAAAATTCGTGAATTCTTCTATAGAATTCTTTTTAGATTAGTTATCAAAAAAAGCAAATTATCAGGTTTTAATTATAAAACAGATATAATAAATAAATTTTTTATCAGTTATAGCAGGTTATCAGTTTTGACAGAATTGGGTTTAAGAGAGTATATTGTATTTACTAAATTTTATTTATTTATAATATTTATATATATAGTTATATAAGCTAATTAAATGTATTAGAGAATCAAAAATATTTTACAAAAAAGTAAAAATAATATGTTAAATATATTATAAAAAAGCTAAAGCCAATTCTTAATATATCTACTAGATGAAATAGCACCTATGATATATGTAAATATGTAATAATATTATGAACTGTTTTAAATACTCTTTTTTATACTAAATTAAACTTATATTAGTATGCACTTTCTGAGAAAGATTGAAAGAAAATTGAGCTTCTTACTGCAATTTTAGTACTATTTAAAAATAGTTAGTTAGTATCTTTTTATTTATAATAAAAAATAAAAATTTATTTTAATTTTTTATACTTAATTTAGCAATGGTTAAAATATCAAAACAAGGATATCTGATTTTGTTAATAGTAATTCTTTTTACTATATACTAATTGAAATATTTAAAAAGGCTATAAAAAATAAAAATACACTACAATAGCTTGTTGAAAAGTGTAAAGATGCTATGACAAAACTTTTGAAATATTGTGAAAAAATAAACATATTAACTCTTGCAGCAATAATATTAGATCTGCAACTTAAACTTGAATATTTTAAATACTTGGTTGGTTATTATGACTTATTACTTAAATTAAAGATATATATACTGTAATTTGAATTATATAATTAAATTTATTAAATTATAAAATTAATAAAAAAATATTTTTTTTTTTAGAATTATTGACAAATATAAAACCAAATATGCACCAGTTCATAATCAAAATATAGCTTTCTTATCTAAAGAGTTATCTGAAACAAATATATTATCAAGAATCTACAAATATTCTTATATTGAACAACAAAGTGAGCTTAAAACATATTTGTTTGTGCCACATGCAAATGCCAACACAAATATCTTAGAATGGTGGAGAATAAATAAACCAACCTATCCAAACCTTGCAAAATTTGCTCAAGATTGCCTTCCCATTCTGGCCAGTATTCCAAGTAAGCAAATTTTTAGTATTAGCAGTAATATGATAACTAATAAGTGAAATCATTTGTCAGATAAAACAGTACAAATTGCAATGCGTTTAAGGTCTTAGTAGAGAGAATTAAATAGCTAAAAATGCAAAGTTGTAATAAAAAAAATAAGATAGTTAAGTAAATAAATTTGTAATATGCAGATTTTATATAAATTTTAAATAAAGTTATACTTTTTTAAAATTGAATTTATCAGTTCCGGGTTGAGTTCGGGTTAGTTATAGTCAGGTCCGGGTTAGTTCTGGACTTGACCCGATTTTTCGGTTCCAGTTAGGTTTTCTGCTCGATCCGACCCACGAGGAACACTATGAACTGGTTTATATATTTGACAGGGTTATCCAAGTGACTAAAATCTAAAGGAGATGTAATTATATAAGGTTGCATGACTTTATTACCGTCTAGCACTGTATACAGTCCGGGGTCTTATTCAAGAACTCCGTTTTTTAAATTGAATAGTACTCGCGGGTACTGTGTGTGGAACCGGGAACTATATATAGGGAATACTGTATATTATTTGAAATTAATAAATTGAGTATAGTTATACCCGGGTGTTAAGTCAAATGGGCGATAAATACCAGATGTAAGTTTTTATTATCATCGTGAAGCGTAGCGCTAATTAAATAAGCGGAGCGACGCTTTCCCAATGTTACACAGTCCTCTCCAAAATACCAGACGGATAACCGCGTGCTTGCACGTGGGTATCCGTCGCGGTCATTTTGGGTACTTGGAAAAAGCCGGAACGGGTCCTCGGATAAACAATATTCCAGAGAATATCCGCAGTACCTATAATCTCCCAATACTTGGGTGGTTTTTGATCACTTTGTACGGCAGCCGAATGGGGTCCTTTTTCTTTTTTTCTTAATAAAAAATGGACCCTTTTTTTATTTTGCGCCCTAAATTTAATTAGTGGGTGGTTTTTAATTAAGGAGATTTAATTAGTGGGTGGTTTTTAATTAAGGAGATTTAATTAGTGGGTGGTTTTTTTGGGGTGCAAAAGTGCACGGTTGCCGTACAAAAAAATTGCACGTAAAAGTTGCCGTCAAGATATCGAATTTTTTTGTTCGACTCTTGTGTAAAACCATCGTTTCGAAGAACGCCCACGTACAGCGATCCTTTATGGAAAACCCCACTATGCCACTCTCAAGACATGTAATAAAAAACTTTTAGCGTGAGCGATTGTAGGGTAGGTTCTCATCTATACGTGGTTAAATTTTCAGCTCAAACGGATTAATACTCATCAAGATATTGAGTTTTTACGTTTACCTATTCTAGACGAAATTTGGCGAAATCCTGTGATGAAGAGCGATGAAAGACTCATGGTACCCCACCCTGATTTTCACACATTCGGTCTAAACCTATTACCGCGCATTAGCAAGTGTGTTAGAGAATAGCGTGAAATTTTGCTTTCTAGAGTTTGGTTCAGTTTGGATTAAAACTCATCAAAATATGTAGAATTTTAAGTTTAACGGCACTATTTTATCTGTGTATATGCGTTTCGAAGAACGCCCACGTACAGCGATCCTTTATGGAAAATCCCACTATGCCACTCTCAAGACATGCAATAACAAAACTTTTAGCGTGAAGGTTCAGCTACTTGAATCTCAATTTTTAGGTGAAACGGACACGAACTCGCGGAG